ATACTACCTACACACAAAGGTAATTATAAAAGGAGATAAAAATAGAAAATTGCTTTAAAAACAAAATCAATCATACAAATAAAATGTTTGTATGTAAGTATGTGTGTATTGTCTATCTTACCATAATTTTGAAAATTATTAGGGGTAATAGTCCATGTTGGGGCTCTATTGTTTTCACTTTGGGAAAGTATAAAATGACTTAGTTGATTTCAAATAAATAATTTTAAATTAGAATTGTCAATGCAGCAAAATGATTTAGTTGAATATAAGAACTCATGGGGCCAGAGTTATGGTGTAGGGGTGAGGTCTGTGATACCAGCTTCTCTTATGGGTGCTGGTTCATGTCTTGGCTCCTCCACTTCTGGTTCAGCTCCACACTAATGGCCTGGAAAGGTAGCGGAGGATGGGCCTAGGGAGTTGGGGCCCTGTACCCACATGGGAGACCCAGGGAAAGCTTCAGATTCCTGGCTTTGGCCTGGCACAGCCCTGGCTGTTGCAGCTGTTTGGTGTGTGTGTGTGTGTGTGTGTGTGTGGCAGGGGTGAACCAGCAGATGGAAGATCTCTCTCTGTCTCCCCTACCTCTGTGACTCTAACTTTAAAATAAATAAATAAATAAATAAATAAAATCTTAGGAAAACCACTCTTGATAGAACTTGCATTAGGCAACTTGCAAAGAACTATGTGAATGCAATAGAGTCATTAGTAAACTGGTTTTCATTTAGTGCTATTTGAAGGGATGGGATAATGCTGGCTGATTTCTTATTGACCATAGGCCTTAATAAGCAAAGGGTGTTTTAATTTTCTCTAGAGGAATTATAAAATGAACAAGCATGTGGGTTATAAATAGGGAAACAATATAATTTGTATCCGAACTAGGACCCTTTCAAGAGTGAAAAGGGACAGAGGTAGTAATGACACACAGCAACAGTTGCGATAATCCAGGAACTGTACCTGGTAAACCACAACCTACACAGCTTGGTATGAACACTGCCTCCGTATGCCTAGGTGAGTCATGTCAGAATGCAATCATTCACAGGAAGACTGAAATGCAGCGGGCTTTCTGCACTGAGGTCTGCAGTACTACTCTGTTGAACTGAGCAGACATGGAGAGTAGGGGACTGCAGCAACCCGGGGAAGCTGCTATACAATGAGCTAAAGGGGGCAACTTTAGGCAGGAGGGAGAGAAGAAATGCTTCCAGGTTTCTCTGAAGTGAAGTATCAAACATGTGCCTGAGCTGTTGTCTGCTGCTGAGAGGCTACAGTACCAGACACATCAGTCTGGTACGTCAAGTGCAGAGATGAGTGAATAAAAGCTTCAGGCCAATGTCAAGTCTACCAAATAGAGTTGCAAACAGCTCCCAGTTCTGCAAGCAAAGGCTATAGACATAAATCAAAGAACAATCTTCCAATGTTGGCAGCATGGGAAGGACCGGCCACTTGTCACGCTTCAGTGGCCTCCGCCACAGTTTCACACATGGAGAGTAATTACACTTGGTAGTGTCATCTGAGAGTAATGATGGCAAGGGCAGAACGTGTGGATGAGGAGATGGAGAGGGCTATGCACACCCCATGTCTACGGATATGATTTACCTCTCATCATTTATATTTACTCCCAGAATCACAGGGAATCACTCAAAATATTTTCCTTTTGAGGTGTTCTTTCTAATGATTTATTTGAAATGTCTTATTTCCAGCATATCTGCAGCACCTGCTTATGTAAGCACATTGCAGCCTTGTATTCCTGCCAGGATAAGAAGCCTAAAGATATTTTATGGGATGGACTCCTAGGAGCAGGTCAGTGTTTACAATGTCATATGATGAGGATGGTTCCACATTCTGAAAGAGAAATAATCCAGTGTTCCTTCCTGGGGGAAGGCCTCCCTCCGGGAAGAACTCTAACAAGTAAGGTAGGAAGTCCAAAGCATATCTGACATAGCCTGGCCGTCAACTCTCTGCTGAGTCCTCAGGTGTGTGAAGTGACCGGGTGACCTTCCATGACTGCTGGATGGCTGGCTTTGCAATCAAAGTGCCATGGCCTCTTTTGATGGGCCTGCCATAACTTTGTAGCGCCAAGATGTCCTTCCAATAAAGTCTTTTTTGCCGTTTCATTATGGAGAGAGTTACAAAAGATTGAGATAGAAGTTCTCTGTGTGAGAGCTAGAAGCATAAATAGATAGTCACTTTTCTATATTTTGGCTCTCATTGTCTTATAAAATATATAATTGTCTCTCAAGGAAATGATTTTACATGTTGGCCTTGGTTTCATGATTTGCAAGAAATACGAAAAGAATGGGCCTACGTTCCTCTTCTATTAACTTTAAATCCATTTTTACTTATTTTATAAAGTTTTATAATATCAATTCACAAAATAACCCTGGAACTACTTTTATTTACTGAGGTTTCTGATATAATGAATGCATTTAAAAACAATCATGTTGACCATATTAATATTTTTAACTAAGTAACAGTAGACATGATAGTATATTGTTAATCCTTTTGATTATTTTATTAATCTAGACTTGGAAAAATTATAAGTCAAATTATTTCATAATTATTTTACAACATCATCTTTTCTTTGTAAATACATAAAATACATAAAAAATTTTAAAAATTAATTATTTTCTATTTATTTCTATATATTCTATTTATTTCTATATATTTCTATTTTCTGTTTATTATGGAGAAGTAGTGATTTCCATGGCCAAATTAACTTTATGATGTTTTTCTTTTCATTCTGTTTAAAAGGTAGCATGGTATGCTATCTTCCAATTTTCAAATCATGTTATTTCTATGAATGAGGAATTTTATGGGGACTTCACCAAATAAAAATGTAAACATATATGCAGTTTTATGCTTTTCAGAATGGTAGAATTTCTTTTTTTTCAATTTTTTTATTTTTGACAGGCAGAGTGGACAGTGAGAGAGAGAGAGACAGAGAGAAAGGTCTTCCTTTTTGCCGTTGGTTCACCCTCCAATGGCCGCCGCGGCCGGTGCGCTGTGGCCCGCACAACGCGCTGATCCGATGGCAGGAGCCAGGTACTTATCCTGGTCTCCCATGGGGTGCAGGGCCCAAGCACTTGGGCCATCCTCCACTGCTGTCCCGGGCCACAGCAGAGAGCTGGCCTGGAAGAGGGGCAACTGGGACAGAATCCGGCGCCCCGACCGGGACTAGAACCCGGTGTGCTGGCGCCACAAGGCTGAGGATTAGCCTAGTGAGCCACGGCACCGGCCAGAATTTCTATTTCAAGTAAGGAGTCTCAATCTTCAGTGGCACTAGAGGTGACTCCTTAAATGTGCTTTCTTTGATTTCTCAAGCTTCCATTAAATATTTTTTAAATTTTTATTTCTCTTTTTAAAGATTTCCTTATTTATTTCAAAGGCAGAGTTACAGAGAGGCAGAGGCAGGGGCAGATAGAGAAGCCTCCTGTCCACTGGCTCACTCTCTAAATGGCTGCAACAGCCAGGGCTGGGCCGGGCAGAAGCCAGGAGCTTCATCTGGGTCTCCCACTTGGGTACAGGGGCCCAAGTATTTGGGTCATCTTTTGCTGCTTTCCCAGCATATTAGCAGGGAGCCAGATTGGAAGTGGAGCAGATGGGAAATGAACTGACACCCAAATGGGATGCCAGTGCTGCAGATGGCGGTTAAATCTGCTATGCCATGTGCCGGCCCCAATTTGAATTTCTTATATCACATTCTTACACTGAAAGATCAGAAGACCAATCTTGGTTGATCTATCTGTGTCACACTGAAACTATGTAATATTCAGGCTTTCACAAAGGACAGAACCAAGCCCGTTTTGCTACCTTCCCATAGTCATAGAATCTGAAGAAATCACTGCAAATTTGGGCTTTCTAGGTTGCAGAACCCATGTCTTGTCTGTTAGGTAGGACTGTAAACAGCAGTCAACTGTTTAATGACACAACGTGAATTTTTATAGGCACATTTAAGTCCACAACCAACTTGCTCTCTGAACACTTGAGATAAATCTTCACTCACTCTCTGAAATTGTTCAACACACAGGTTAATTTCTCACTATTGATTTTCTCCACAGTGCATCTTGAATGCTTGAAGATCTCTTGACCTATACAAAATATCTCAATGGAAATCATTGTAAAAAGAATAGGTCTTCAAAAGAATGCTTGAAAAATCAGTAAAGATAATGAAATAACTCTTCCCCAACTATTAGCAGGGCAGTTTAACTGGACATTTTGATTAGGTTTTGAAGAGAGAACAAAACCATGAACATTTGCAAGAAGAGGCTTCATATATTAAAGTTGGTGAATGTGAATGCTACTTTTGTGGGAATTCTTGAGGAGGCATGATATTGTCATCAAGTGGAATGAAAAATTTCAAGTTAAATCAGAATAATAACTGGGACCACTTTGGGTAACAGAATGGGGCCGCACAGCACAGGAGGAAAACACAGAATGAGTAATCAAAAGAGCCATCAACCATGCCAGGAGTTTGGCCTCTTTGGGCTTTTGTTATTCATGTGAAAAACCAAATGACTAGGTCCAATGAGTCTTCTCAATTCTAAAATTCAATGCTCTATATTCAAAACAATATATAAAACTTTATTAACAGGAAAACCAAGTTAAAACAAAAACAAAAGCAAATTAAAAACATTTTTGTACCTGAAAAAAAAACATGAGAAATGTGTGATGAGCATGATTTTTTCCTCTAGAGACCCATTTTGATGCCTGCATAGTCTTCCAATCCTAAACTACTGAAAAGCAAAAAGTTCTTTTAGGGATGCAACGTTCTGTTTAGTTTTTCAATCATTCCTTTCTTCAACCCTGAAATATTGCCCCATTAACAGAAAATCGTGTCAGAAGCACTTTATTAACAGTAATTCCTTTTATGGACTTCCAAATAAAATAACACCATTAATATCAATATTATATTTAAAAAACAAAACAAAAACCAACCTAACAAAACCACAAACAAATAAAACCACATCTAAATTCCCAGCATTGACTGAACAGAATCAAAGTGAACCAAGCCACTCTCCCATGTCACGTGGAGTGTAGATTTATTTGGGTTTAAGAACCTCCTAAACAAATTACATCAACCTCACTCCATTTCCTTCTATAATAAAAATTATGACTGGACAAACATCAGATTTTAAAAATTCTAAAAATAATAGAAAAGTAAAAAGAGATTTCCTAGGGAAATCCCTCTCCTAAATCTTATATGGTTTTGCTGCTTCTGTGAAATCTTTCTTTGGAGTAACTTGGTAGCATAGATTTTGTTTCTGTTTTTAAGCGGATTCGTACTAGAGCACTGAATTAGAACTTCGGCTGACTTATGGAGCATGGACATGGAACAGTTTCCTAGGGTCCCTTGGCACCATGAACAATAAATCACCTCTGCTCTGAAAGGAAAATGGCAAATGTCAACGGAAGCAGGGGCATACTGCAAGCCCATTTTATTACGTGAAGTAATAAGTCTTACCTCAGGATCGCACCCTTGTTTAAAAATAGAACAAAGGAAACAAAGTGGTATGAGCACTCTAAAATCATCTGCAGCACTTTTAAGGGTTAAACCTGCTTAACCCACTCTTAGTCTGAGAATGGCACCAGAGTCCAGCTCACTCCTCAAGTGTGGCTAGTTCTGAACCTGTGGTATCCTCAGCTTGTCATGCACTCTATTTCACCCCCCTCCCACCCAGTTAATAGTATCCATTCATAGCTACTCACTACTGCAGGATTTGACCTGAGAAATGCTAGGATTTATTAACTCAGCAGTTGTTTTGAAAAGTCCCTAAATAATCTGCCCTTGGCCAGCAAGGGAACTGCTAGTCTCAAGTTCTCAGAAGCAGCTGGTGAGGTTCTCAGCCAAGTTCTTCAGATGCAGGAAGTTCTTCGAGACAGCCTACTTTGACGTGGCATTTACACATCTTTAAACCAGGCTTCCTGGATCTAGGAAATGTTATTCCTGACTCCTTCGACCCAGATGCTGGCTAGAAATGAGTTTATAATCTGTAGGTAATCACTCTTTCTTTCTTCCTTTTCTTCTAGGAGCTGACGTGGTAGCTAAATGTTTCTAAAACAGTCATATTAATGTGTTCAAAAATCCACTGCTGAGTCTCAGAGAAAGGGTCACATCTGGCCATGAAAATCTTCTTCTCTGCAGGGTTGCAATCCACACAGCTGTTGCTCACAGGATGGAACAATGTCCTGTCCTGGGGAGATCAGAAAGAAAAGACTGACATGAAATGGTCAGAACTCAAAACACACACAAGAAGGATTTCTGTTTATATTTCAGTACAAAGAGATGAGCCGTAAAACCAAACAATAGCAGATTGAATTGCCAACATGGAACAGTTTCCTAGGTTCCATTGTCACTATGTAGAGTGGTATGGTTCGAATATTTTGTCCCTGAACTCATGTAGAAATGAAAATCCGAAGTCTTACATTAATAGCACTGACAGGCCTAGGGTTGTGACTAGATTGGATTGAGTCGTTAGGGTGGAGTCCCCAGGATTGAGTCCTGGTGGCTTTTTAAGAGAGACAGACACATGTGTTTCCTCTGTTGCCATGCGATACTTTGGACCCCTTCAGAACCCTGCCAGCAAGAGCACTATCACCAAAGAACAAACCACTGGAGCCTGCCTGATCTTGGACGTGAACTTCCACAACAGTAAGGCAAAATAAACCCTTTCCTTTATAAAGTCAGGCTGCTTCAGGTATGTCAACACAGTGTTGAAAACTGACTAATAGGACCTCCAAGCAGGTTAAATTGGAGGCAAAAATGATTCATTTATTTATTCATTCAATCATTTTGAAATCAGCAACCCATTCACTTCCTGCTTGTGGTGATCCTTATGCTACATGCTTGGATTTTGAAGATCTGTATGTGTGGTTCCTTGTCAAGTGGCTAACAATTTAGCTGTTTGGGGGAGAAATGTATATTTATAGTTAGACTATAGTAGACTATAGTAAATAGTAATCAGATATAAACATACACGAGTGACCAAGAGCCACAATTTTCATAACTTTGGCATAGAGTCTGTAATAGGAAAGAGAACTACAAAAAGGAAAGAATGGAAGAGAAAAAGAAAAATGGAGGAGCCCAAAGTACTAAGTGCTCAGTTACCCTTTTCATAAGGTGATATTGGGATGGGACAAGTGTCACCCAGACAATAGCTGAAAGGACAAACAGAAATTTATTAGTTCTTGAGCTTCCGTCCCTTTTCAACCCTAGCATTGACATTGCTAGTGTTCTGGTGGTATTGTTCTTACTGCTTTCCTGTAAAATGGCAGAAGCAATATTCATTTTTTAAAAAAGCAACAGTCCTAGGCACCTGCTACAGTTAATCTCAGTGAGTGAAGGGTATTTTTGGGCACACAGTTTAAGTAGTGAACAGGCTTATTATTTGAACAGGCTCTATTCACACACACCCTTTTTATTGTACAAAGAGGAAAAAGGAAGGTAATGCTAAATAGAATGATCTTTCCCTAACTACTATCAAATTTTTATCTCTATGATACTTATGCTAAAAAACAACTGCCAATTATATAAGAAAATGCCCTCAAGTCACTGCTTAAAATTTTAGAACCAAGTAATGTTTTATTATTATTTAGCTTAGAAAATCTTTAGAGGTTCTGACTATTTTCCTTTAACTGAGGATGTCTAAACTTACAATGGTTTTAGTATTAGGAGTCCATCAGGCACCCTTTGTAAACATTTCTGGGTTGTTCCTGGATTTTAAGACGCCATCAACCAATATTTAATGTCCTCTTATGATCCGGATGTTTGCATAGTTGAGAGCTGCATGAAGGAAGAGGGATAAGGAAGGAGAAAGGGTAACCTGCCGGCAACTGAGTTTGCATATTTCTACTTTCCGTGTAAACAAAGGGTTATGGCTTAATACAAAGGTTTGCTATTCCCTTCTGCTTGCCTTAATGGAAAATTTGTCGAGTTTATTGTGTGTTTTCCTTTCCTTACACAAAGAGGGCTCTATACCATTTTCTTCATCTTCTGCTCCATTAATTCTCTTGTCTGATCCCATGGGACGGCTCTTAGCCTCTATTACTTTGGGACAGAGGTAGCAGAGCCAGGGGGAAGGGCAGCAGGCTCAGCAGCTCACTCCCCACACCCTTCTTTAGTCCTAGATGGTTGCTATCACAGATTGCTCCTTATAGGCATCATAGCTCTTTGGGAAACCATCGTTTTCACTGCCTGCTTCTTGTCCCCCTGGCATGTGTCTCCCACCCCTAACTTTCACTAGTCTAGTTTCATACCTTGTATATTTAGATCAATTCTCCAATTTGCTATATTCCAGCAAATTCTATGTGCTCTGATCCCGATTCACTTTGTTCCAAGTACATGCACCTCTTTTTCCCTCTTCACTAATTGTAATTTCCTTCTGCCATTACCTTTATCGATAGTTCAAGAGGAACCTCTGGAGGCTGGCGCTGTGGTGTAGCAGTTAAGCTGCTGCCTGAAGTGCTGGCATGTTATATGGGTGCCAGTTCAAGTCCCGGCTGCTCCTCTTGCAATCCAACTCTGCTAATGTGCCTGGGAAAGCAGCTGAGGAAGGCTCAAGTGCTTGGGCCCCTGCACCCATGTGGGAGACCCGGAGGAAGCTCTGGGTCCCTGACTTTGGATCAGCCCTGCCCTGGTCGTTGAACCAGTGAATGGAAGACCTCTCTCTCTCTGTCTCTGCCTCTGCCTCTCTGTAACTCTGCCTTTCAAATAAATCAATAAATCTTAAAAAAATAAAAGAGGCACTGTCAGATGCCCACAGTTCTCCCTCAAAACACATGTTTGCATGAAAGCTAAAAAATGAGAAAAGAAAAAGAGTCATGACTGTTTCTGTTATCTTTCCCTTCATCAGCTTGTGTGCCCCAGCATGGATGTACAAAGCCAAATCAGATGTTGTGAACACTTTATTTTCTGAACACTGTTTTCTGGCCATAAGGTGATCAGTTTTCCAAATCCTATATTGGAACACATGTCTGACAAATACAGGTATACTCATGGGTACAAACAGCCTATCCCGAAACTCAGCACTATCCTGAAGAATCCAGAATGTTTTCTGAACTTGTACTTTGTGTCCTCATTAAAGTCAAAAAACTGAATCCCCTATGTCTGTTCAAGCCTGAGAAGCTTCATCAGTTAGATAAAGAAGAAGATAAATCTCTGAGGCCTCTCTCAGCTATAAAATTGAAGGGACACTTCATTCCAAAGTTCACTAGTGATGGAGACAAATGACAGGATGTCCAACTAAAAACCACCCACACTCTCCAGCAGATTTGCAGATCAGCAGACCGACTATTCCTGATTACAGACAGAGCTCTGCTCACCTGCATCTTTGGAGTGTTCAGGACGTCCCAGGTAGGAAGCCCCTGGAGCATCCTTGGGCTTGACCAGAGCATACATTTTTCTCTTTTGATCTTGGGGGCTTCATAATTGCCACCTTGATGTTTGCTCAGCTAAGCTTTCAGATGACTGACTGTTTTAATGGATGCTTTTCCTGGCCTGAATTAAGTCAGTTTCTTGTTCCCTGACAGCACTTCATCTGACTGGTCATCACAGAAGTGGATACCAAAAGAACAGAAAGCAGTTTTTCTATGGAACAGACTTCTGAGGGAAGACCGCTGTTCATAACAATCCTCCTTCTAAGATGACAGAAGATGGTCTTCCGTTGATTCAGCTTGGTTATTGTTTGGTCCCGAGGGGGGATGCAGCTAAAGCTCTTCCCGCTCAGTGTAACCAGTGCATTTTGCTTCACCCCTCACCTCACCCATTCCCTGGATGTCTACCCCCTCGGACTTATTTTTTCCTAAGAAAATTAGAAATCCTTGGGCAGGGAATGCAACAGTTTAGAGCCAGGATAATTGAGCTGCCCTTCATATTCCGTGTTGTGTCTGCTTATCAGTCCTCATGGAAAAGGCGCTGGGAGAGGGGTAGGGTTGAGCAGACCTATCAGCTCATTGAAAGGGACACCTCTACTCGTTATTTCTGATCAGGGAAAACATGATATTATATCTGTCTTTTTGGGACTGGCTTATTTCACTAAGTATAATGATTTCCAGTAGCATATATCTTGTTGCAAAAGACAAGATTTCATTTTTTTATAGCTGAGTAGTACTTCATAGTGTGTGTGTGTGTGTGTGTGTGTATATATGCCAACCCAGTATGTATATATATATATATATATATATATACCATAATTTCTTTTTCCAGTCAACAGTTGATGGACATCTGGGTTGATTCCATATCTTAGCTATTATGAATTGTGCTGTAATGAACATGACAATGCAGATAACTGTTTCATATACCGATTTCTTTTGGAGTACCTGAAATATAATGTATTGAAGTGAAATAGAAATTTTGAGAATCAATGATGGTTTATAGCCCTTGTCTTTTTTGCTGAGAAACAGTATTTTGTTTTGTTTTGTTTTCTCTTCAAAAATATGTTGAACTCTTTTACTTAGGGTAGCATTAACTATACAATCATTAGATGTACTAAAAAAAAGATCATTGTAAAAATTAAGAGTGGGAATCTGAGAGGGAGGGGGAGGAAGTGTTGGAGTGGGAAGTGGGTGGGAAGAAGGATGGAGGGGAAGCGCCACTATGTTCTTATAATGGTATAAAGGAAATACATGAAACTTGTATAACACACACACACATACACACACACAAATACACATGTATAAAGAAAGGACACCTCTTCAAAGCAGACCTGTGGACTTGGTCAGTATCTATGTGGCATTTGTAAGTCAGCACTAAATTTATCAGTTTCTATGCTTATGTAGAATTCGAACTTTAGAAAAATGAGTGAGTGATACAATTGATCATAATGAAAGAACTAAGAGTCAAAGGGATCACATAAAGAAGTCTAGTGCCTGCTAATACTAAACGATAGAATAAATAAAGGGGAGAGCAATCCAACATGGGAAGCGAGATACACAGCAGACTCATAGAATGGTGGATGTCCTAAATAGCACTCTGGCCTCAGAATCAGCCCTAAAGGCATTCGGATCCGGCTGAAAAGCAGATGAGAGTATTTCAGGCATGGAAAGCCAAGACACTCTGGCAAAAAGATAAAAAAAGGGGACCTAAATGAAAGATCTCTGTGAGTGAGATCCCAGTGGAAAGAACAGGTCTTCAAAGAAGGAGGTACCTTTCTCTGAAGGGAGGAGAGAACTTCCACTTTGACTATGACCTTGTCTAAATAAGATAAGAGTCAGTGAACTCAAAAGGCTTCCATAGCCTTGGCAACTCATGACTGGAGCATAGGGAGATTACTGATGCCATAAACAGGAGTGTCAATTTGTAAAGTCAACAACAGGAGTCATTGTGCACTTACTCCTCATGTAGGATCTCTGTCCTTAATGTGCTGTACATTGAGATTTAATGCTATAACGAGTCCTCAAATAGTATTTTTCACTTTGTGTTTCTGTGTGGGTGCAAACTGTTGAAATCTTTACTTATTGTATACTAAACTGATCTTCTGTATATAAAGAGAATTGAAAATGAATCTTGATGTGAATGGAAAGGGGGGAGGGAGAGGGAAAGGGGAGGGTTGCGGGTGGGAGGGAAGTCATTGGGGAGGGGGGGAAGCCAATGTAATCCATAAGCTGTATTTTGGAAATCTATATTCATTAAATAAAAGTTAAAAAAAATGAGTGAGTGATAGAAAATGTACTGGACTGTGCTCAAGATCAGAACCAAACACCACAGAAGCAAACACAATAAAACAACAAATAACTATGTGAATTTATAATGTATAGTATTATAATCCTGATAATAAAACTACCACACAGTGAGAAGGGGGGTAATTTAGGATTAAGGGAAGAGATGAGAATTTGTGACTGAGGCCGGCATTGGGGCGTAGCGGGTGAAGCCGCCACCTGCAATGCCGGCATCCCTTATGGGTGCTGATTCGAGTCTCGGATGCTCCTCTTCTAGTCCAGCTCTCTGCTATGGCTTGGGAAAGCAGTAGAAGATGGCCCAAGTTCTTGGGTCCCTGCACCCACATGGCTTTGGATCGGCACAGCTCCAGCCATTGTGGTCAATTGGGGAGTGAACCAGTGGATGGAAAACCTCTCTCTCTCTCTCTCTCTGCCTCTCCTTCTCTGTGTGTAACTCTTTCAAATAAACAAATAATTAAAAATAAAGGATTTGTTACCTTAGGCGATTTGGATCAAATCATGCCACTTACTTCCTGTGTGACATTCAGCAAGTTATTTAATTTTATGAATCTCAGCTTATCGGTCTGTAAAAATGTAGATAATACTATGCCTCACAAGTTTGTTGTGAGGTTAAAATGAGTTTATGTATGTAAAATCATTAGCACAATGTCCTACGTATAAGTAACTAAGTAATAGTGACTTCATTAATGAATTTTATTAAAATTATTTTTCTTTATTTGAAAGAGAAGAGAGAGAGAGAGGAATAGAGAGGGTAGAGAGAAAGAGAGAGAGAGAGAGAGAGAGAGAGAGAGAGAGACCGTCCATCTACTGGATCATTCTCCAACTGTCTGCAACATTGGAGTCTGAGCCAGGCTGAAGATTGAAGCGGGAACTCAGGTCTTCCACATGGGTAGTAGGGAACCCAGTACTTGGTTCCTCACTTGCTGCCTCCCAGGGTATGCATTAGCAGGAAGCTGGAATCAAAAGTGAAGCTGAAACTTGAGTCTAGTGACTCTGATATGGAATGGAGGGGGTCCCCAAGCAGCATCTACACTAGTGAACCAAAATGCCCACTTATTTTTAGTCAAGAACATCCCCAGTTCTAAACCTAGGATGTTTTAGCCATTTTGCTTGAGACTGGCTAAGCTATTCTACACCAAACTGTTTTCTGAAATCCTGGAAAAATGAATTTGCAAAAGTTAGCCTCTGCCTCAACTAGCTATCCAAATCAATACAGCAGGACTTCCTGTTTTAAGCAAAGGATTTATAGATTAAAGGTAATCTATGGGTCAACAATTAATTTCTCTGTGTAACAATGGCCAGAGTTTGTGTATGGCCCATGTGTTTAGGTCCTTTATTTAGGATCCAACAGTAAGATCAGTTGAGTTGAACAAATAATTATTCAGTGCTTTTAATTTCCTGGTATGCACTAGGAAAGAGGCATTAAGAAAGAAGATGCATTCCCATTCCAAGAAATAGGGGTGTTCAACAGGTAATCAAGAGTATTTGGTACAGCAGTAAGGATGCTGGCTATGATGGTGGCATCCCACATCAGAGTACTTGGGTTTAAGTCCTGGCTCTATTCCAAATTCCAGCTTCCTGTTAATGCGGACTCTGGGAGGCAGCAGGTAATGGCTCAAGTGGTTGGGTCACTGCTACCCAGAAGGGAGATGAAGATTGAGTTCTAGTCTCCTGACTTTGGCATGGGCCAATGTAGTATGGGCCAATTAGTATGGGCCAATGCAGGTATTTGGGGAGTGAACCAGCAGATGGGAGCTCTCTGTCTCTGTCTGCCTTCCAGATAAATAAACAAATAAATGAAATTGAGAAAGTAGGTAAACAAGAAGCTTTTGGAATAAAAAGTATCAATGAGATCATAGATGGGGTGAATAGGATGAGTTTGATTATTTCAGATGTAAGAAAAATATAAAAAAGCAAAATGTGTAATACTATATACAATTATATGTTGAATTTATTCAACACGAAATTCACTGGACAGCTACTGTCTGCCAAGCACTATTTTAGGTGTTTTGAATGTTTCAATGAACTTAATAAGACTATAATCCTTCTCTTCCCAGAGGTTACATTCTAGAGGTAGGGGTGAAGCTGAAGCAGTGGGTCACAGACAATAAACACAATGAACATAACAGGTAAATACACAGCCTGTTCAAAGGTGATATGAAAGAAAACCCAGGAAGTCAGGAAGACCTGGAGTAGTAAAGGTGGAATCAGTATGCAAATTTAAAGAGAATGGGCAGGGCAAACCTCATTGAGAAGGTGACATTTGGCCAGTCTTGAAGAGTAAGTAGGTATTTAAATATCCCGGTGAAAACGTCCCAGACGGGAGGAACAGCCCATGCAAAGGTGCTACAAAGGCATGCATCCTGCTGTGGGGGTGGGGAACACCCAGCCTGTGACATCAGGCATTCTGGCTCTGCCATGACAACTGCAGGTGCTACTCAAAATTCAACAAATCTACAGTAGGCTAATTTTTAAGTTGATAATTTTGAATTGGCCTATAAATGTTATTATATCCAAATAGCCCCTGGCAGAAAAAGTTTCCTCAGTCTTGGGAGGAACAGCAAGGAAGTCACAGTGAGGGAGAGGAGGAGGTGATATAAAGGTGACGGAGGCCAGGTCAGATCAACAAGTCATTCGATACGGCTGTAGCACAAGGAGCATGGTGGAGAATTCCAGATGCTGATATCCAAGATGCAGGCAAGGACCATGGCATGAAGAGACTGGGGTATGATGCTAAGGCTTCATTTTTCATGTAATTGTTGGGAACGGTCACTGGAGGATTCGAAACAAGAGTCACAGGATCTATATTTAGGATGGCAGAGAGAAAGAGAGTAGGAGTACAAAGACATTGGACTAAAGTGGTAGACAGCACTCAGAGGCTACGAAGTAATTCAGATTTCAGCTGTTACAAAAGCAAAACAGCGGAGATGAGAAGGAGGTGACCCAGGGAACGAGATGCGGGATGATTGAGAATTTCAATGCACAGGATGTGCTGATTAATGGGATGTGAGTGGTAAGGCAGAGGGAAGAGGGAAGTGGAGAAAAAGCAGTCTGGAGGCAAGAAGTGTAGCAAGCAGAACAGGATTGGGATTAGAATAACGATTTACATTGTAAGTATATTGAGCTGGATATGTTTATAGGACATCCAGGTGTATAAGCCCAGAAAGCGGTTGGATATAAACTGGAACTTAGGCTAACCCACTATGTAAACTAGGGAGAATGGAACTACTCATATCTGTTAATTTGTAAGTAGCAAAAGTAATAGTAAAATAACACATATTGTAAGAGGATGGTTTTGAAAGAGAGAACTCCTTCATGTCCAGTGCCTTTTGTGTCTAATATAAATATGAGGGAATGACATCTTAGAATGATCGCACTTGTTTTTAATCCTAGTTTCAACCCTGACAATAATCTGATGGTCCCTTACTTTGTTGATAATTTAGATTTTCTACCTATAAAATGAATGGGGTATGGAGAAGGAGAGTGGGATGAGTTGTGGGAAAAAATAAGGTTGATCCATGACTATTTTTTGAGCTTTTGGAACAAAGACAAATAGGTTGGATTTTTCTGTCTGTTTTTACTGTTGGCATCTGCAAGAATGCAAATAACACCCTTATGGGCATAAAAAAAGGACACAGCTGTGTTATTATCTACTCTTTTACATTTTCCTCTGACAGGTAGAATTCCTCACAGGAGAAAATTGGTCTTCCTGCACCCGTGGCTAATTTGGCCAATCAAATATAATGCTTCTAAGTACCCTGATGGAGCCCTGAGGTGTGTGTGCTGGGACAGTGATGGCCACTGCAGATTTTTGAACCCTCCATCTTCTCCTCTCACCAGCTATTCTGGGTTACAGGTAACTGACGTGCATGAAATTCTTTTCATGAGCACAGACGCCCTAATCATTAAATCTCTATTTAAATGTGCTAGATCCCAGCTCCTTAAACTATGCAACAACATTTCACTCTCTTAGCTAAATTCTTAGCATGGCCTACAAGTTCTGCACCCAGCCAGATGACCTGGTTTGTAGCACATTGTTTTCTTTCACACTCCTTTCAACTGACTTCTTTTTTTTTTTTTAAAGAAAAAAGATAAATACTAACAAAGAGATTACCCTCCTCAAGACCTTTGCACAAGTTAATTTGTGTGGATCTTAATCACTTTTTTACTTAGTTAATTTTTACTCATCTTTTAGGTCTCTATTTAAATATTAGAGGAACCTTTCCTATCCTTTTGACCTGGGTAATACACAGAGTTCAATGTTTTTTTGTGTTATCCTACACACTTAATTTAAGTATTTGTCTGTTTCCCCTCTAGGCTGAAAGTTCTTTAAGTAGAGAAAACTCATCTGTTTCACATCTTGTTTCCATCTGTCCATATCTCCTCTCAGTAAATCTGACATGACTCATGTGAACATAATAACTTCTATTTATTGGGCATGTATCTGTATGTTAGGCAGAGCTAAGTGTTTCTGCTAAGAGTCTCTAATTTTTTCCCACCAAAACCTGAAGAGATAGTGAATGTGAACAAACAGGAAGGTGAATCAGGTATTCATTCATTCAGTAAGTACTAATTAAATACATACTATGTGCCACAGTGTTTTAGGTGCTGGAGAAACTCCAAAAAAGAAAGCAGAGAAGAAAACCTGCTTTCATAAAATTTATATTCTAATAATTAGCTTTAGTTAAAATAGTAGGTGAATATGCAGAAATACAAAAATTACTCCATCTTTTCCTATATGTCTTTCTACTTAGAAAATTCAGATCAGAAGATTGCTTGTTGAACACATAGAGTAGTAAGCACTGACATTAATTGAACTCTTATTTGCCATTGTGTTGTATTATGTGCTTGTTGTATTGAAATTTTATTTAGTCATCATAATATCCCTCTTAGGTAGATACCATTATCATTCCCTTTTATAGATGAAGAAATAGAAATATACAGGAAGGATGTTTTTCCAAGTCTAGAGCCAGGACTCACAATGGAGCTAATGAATCAAATCTCAAGACCAGAGCCTCCTGTAGAGGTGTAAGAGTGGAGAGATGTGTCTGTCTAGGAAAGCAGCAAAAACACTTACAAAACATACTGAAAGCTCTAAGAGTTTTCATTGAGAAAGCACATTGAAAAATTACACTGAGAAAGAAAACTTATTTATAAGAAAGGATGTTACATGCTCATAAGAAAGGGTGCTAGAAACTTATCCTTGGTTAAATACCTGGGATATTGTGTTCTGTTCTGCCACTCTCTCAGGCTATCTGGAATACATCAGCAGTGAGTGTCCAGGAAATTGAGGTAGATCCAAATTAAGTCTTATGAAGACCAGTGTCAAGAAATTGGGCCTTTTAATTAGAATCAAAGACTAAAGATCAAGTAAGCATTGTTCAAATATTTGGGATCTGCCATGTTAAATGGATTTTATTTAATCTGTATGGTGCCAAAGGCTAAGGAGTGCTTTCTAACACCCAGGACTGTCCAGGAATGAATGGGCTGACCTGGAAGAATGTGGCTTAGTACAAGCACAAGTTCAGGGGCTTGTAGGGACTTTGAAGAACCAAAGGAATTACATTCATTTTTACTTAAGTTCCTTATATATATTTTCCTAATTTTCATCCTAAATCAATACCAATCAGAATGATTTAAAAGCTTGTGGCCTTCCATCTGGCATCTCTGTGGACCAACACAATTTTATGAGCTTGAGAGGACAAAGCACTGATAAATATCTTAAATGATAGTAAACAGTCAAATGTAAACCCAGGCCAAGAATTCTACCACCTCACTTTTTGAATTAATAGGATTGTACACTGTTATCAATTTAGACTGGCAGGGACATTCTTATCTGCTTTTCCTGTTTAATGCTGTTATAAAGTGTTTTTTTTTTTTTTTTTTTTTTTTTTTTTTGTGGAAGTTAAACTGTAAGAACCCCCCAGAGGCTGGCGCCGCGGCTTAACAGGCTAATCCTCCGCCTAGCGGTGCCAGCACACCAGGTTCTAGTCCTGGTCGGGGCACCGGATTCTGACGAATTCTGTCCTGGTTGCCCCTCTTCCAGTCCAGCTCTCTGCTGTGGCCAGGGAGTGCAGTGGAGGATGGCCCAAGTGCTTGGGCCCTGCACCCCATGGGAGACCAGGAGAAGCAGCTGGCTCCTGGCTTCGGATCAGCGAGGTGCGCCGGCCGCAGTGCGCCAGCCGCGGCGGCCATTGGAGGGTGAACCAATGGCAAAGGAAGACCTTTCTCTCTGTCTCTCTCTCTCTCACTGTCCACTCTGTCAAAAAACAAACAAACAAACAAATAAAACAAACAAACAAAAAACAAAACCCAGAGAGCAACTAAGATTTGTAAATTTATATTTATTAAATAAAAAAAGAAAAAAATTACTCTATTAAAAAAAGAAAGGTAATTTTAAATCTTTTAACTTTGGGGCTTTGTGGAGACTGTATGTGTTTTCTTAAAAGTTATTTATTTATTTGAGAAGCGGGGGGAAGGGGGAAGTGTTCCTATTTCCCAGTCCTTCCCAAGATGCCTGCAATGGCCAGGGCTGGGTCAGGCTGGAATTAAGAACCTAGTCCAGCTTTCCTACATGGGTGGCAGAAGCTCAACTGCTTGAGCCATCTCCTGCTCCCTCCCAGGGTGTGCATTTGTAGGGAGCTGGAATTGGGAGTAGAGCTGAAGCTTGAACACGGGCACTCTGATACAAGACAAAGACGTCCCAATCCAGCTTCTTAACTTTTTTTAAAAAGATTTATTTTTTTATTTATTTGAAAGACAGAGTTACAGAGAGAGGTAGAGACAATGAGAGAGAGGTCTTCCACCTGCTGGTTAACCCCCTAGATGGCCTCAATGGCTGGAGCTGCGCCGATCTGAAGCCAGGAGCCAGGAGCTTCTTCCAGGTCTCCCACGTGGGTGCAGGGACCCAAGGTCTTGGGTCATCTTCCACTGCTATCCCAGGCCACAGCAGAGAGCTAGATTGGAAGAGGACTAGAACCGGCACCCATATGGGATGCTGGCGGCACTTCAGGCCAGGGCTTTTAACCTGCTATGCCACAGCGCTGGCCCCCAGCATTTTAACTTTTAAGCCAAATATCTGCCCCGTGTATGTGGTTTTAAGGCAAAGAGATAGAAGTTTTATATAACACTTTGGGAATCAAGAAGGGGGTATTCATATCAATAATTGAACCCAATGGTGCTGTGTGTTAGTCAATGAATGCCTACCCAGGAACTTCATATATTAAGATATTAGGCAAGCCATGTAGAATTTCTTTTTGAAAGGTTCCTACCTTCCTGTAGTTAAGAGGAGACAAGTAACTAACCAAGTATAATACAATGTAACAGGTACAAGACAGGAAATGGACTGGAATGGGAAACACAGGTAGAGGAGCAAATTCTAACTAGAGTAGGAAGGCAGGTATGTTAAAGAAAGTAAGTAGAAATTTGAGATAGAAAGTGGTTCTCCACCTGACTTTCTGTTAGAACCTCTTGGGAGCTTTAAAGAAATATCAGGGAACCTCACCTAATCTATCCTTATACAAACAGTATTCAGTCTTAATATACTTTTATAATGTTTTGTTATCTCATAATTTTTAATACTTGTATTTTTTATCTTCCTGGCCTGTAAATTTTCATATAAAGTTTAGAAACAGTTTGGTCAATTTCCACAATAAAACTCCTGAGATTTGATTGGTTTTTCCATTAAATGTATGTACATCAGTTTGAAAGCTGACATTTTTATAGTAGTGAATCTCATAATTCTCAAACATGACAGACTCCTCTATATTAAAAAAAACTATTTGTTTATTTAAAGGGCAGAGGGAGAGAGAGATCTTGAATCTGCTGGTTCACTCCCTAATAACAGCCTGCTGTGGCAGGGCCTGGCTGAAGGCAGGAACTTGGAACTCAATCTGGTGTTCAACATAGGAGGAAAGGACCAAACTCTTGCAGCTGTCAAGTGCTGCCTCCCAAGGTGCGCATTAACGGGAAGGTGGAACTGGCAGTGGAGCAGGAACTCAAACCCAGATACTCTGATGTGGGACGTGGGTATCCCAAGCAAACACCAAATATCTGCCCTAATTCCTCTACATATTCAAAAAACTCTTCTTAATAATGTTTTGTAGTTTTGTGTTTACATGTCTTACACATCTTTGTGAGGTTTATTCCTAGTTATTTGATACTTTTCATTAGGATCAAATGCAACACTTTTAAATTTCACTTTCTATATTTTGTTGCTAGTATATAGACAACTGATCTTTATCTTAGGGCTGTGCTAAATTTAACTAATTAGCTTTTAATAGTTTAATAGCAACACCATTTAGATTTTCTAAATCCCCAAGCATATAATCTGTGAATAGACTCTTATTTTTTCTTTCTATTTCTTATACCTTAATTTTCTCATCTGTCCTGAATATACAGACAAGGATATCCTGTACAAGGTTGAAAAGAAGTGATTATAGCCAACATCTATTTTATTCCAAGTATCCTGAAAAAGAGCATCAACATTTTACCCTGAGTGATGGTGGCCGTGGAGTTTGGATATACCTTTTATTGGACTAAATTAGTTTACTTCTACTTTATATATGGGTTTATATATGGCTAAAATTATTGATCAAATGGTGAAAACTTGATGAGTCAACAATAGGCCAGGTAAGTAAGGTCTCTTGGTTAACAACAAAAGTGCAGTGGGAAAAATGGTCTTCTAAACAGATTGTGTTCTATCAATTATGCATATATGAATGAAGCAATTGCTATCTTAGATTGCACATATAGAAATGGTTCAGAGAATTACATATATCGAAGTTTAGAATATTAGACAATAAAGCTTCCAAAAATGATTGAGAATACTATCTTTATGATCTGAGTATAGACCAAGATTTCCTAAACAGGACACTGAGCCCTAATTATAAAAAAAAATAGTTTCTCAGAGGCGATAGAAGAGGCACAGCAAATTAAGCTGGTTTTGGGATGTCTCTTTCCCATATTGGAGTACTGGTTTGAGTCCTGGCTGCTTCACTTCCAACCCAGTTCCCTGCTAATGCTACTGGGAAGCAGCAAATGATGGCTGAAATACTTGAGTCCCTATCACCCGTTTGGGAGACCTAGATGGAGCTCCTGACTCCTTGATTCAGCCTGGCCCAGCCTAGGTGCTGTGGCCACTGGGGAGTAAACCAGTGGATGGAATATCTCTGTCTTTTCCTGTCACTCTACCTTTCAAATATATAATGAGTAATTTTTTAAAAATAAAGAATAGCTTTTCCATTTTCATACTACACTAGACAGAACAAAGGCAAAATACTGACTGAAATAAGGTATTCCAACACATATATTTGATCAAGTACTAGTATCTAGATATATTTTAAAAAATATCAAAAGTCTGTAAAAACTAAACAACAACAACAACAAAAACAAAAGCTAGACAACCCATGTTAAAAATTAGTGAAACGCCTTGAGTGAGTCCTTCACCAAGAACATGTCAGAATGGTTAACAAGTATGTCATTTTGCCATCACAGAATAAAAAAAAGAAAAAGAAATTGTGAATGTCAAGTGTTGGTGACTATAGGGGCAACTAGGTTCTCAGGCAATGTTTATGCCCTGATCATAGCCCTCAGGCCTTGCTGTTTGAGTGTATGCTGGCCCAATTGCCAGCCATTGACCACTGCATCTGTGTGCTTAAAGACTTACTCTGGCTTCAAGAACAGTTTTGTCTGTAAGAAGTTCAGGCCAGAGGTGTCAGAGAGTAAACTCCCCCCAGTAGCCAGCCTAACCAGAGTTGGCTGGAGTGGGGTGTAAATACTGACCTACCTTGCTCCCTAAGTGTACCATTGCCAGAGGTCTTTAGTCAGAGTTCTGCAGTAGTACTTGCTGGATAATGTGCCTCTTATTGCCTCCCATCCTTTCCTCATTTCACTTCCTTACTCCCTAATAACAATTTGGGGCTATCTCTCAAATAGACAATGTATACTTTAATTATGTATCGTGGCATATATTATATGCCAATAAAACTGCTTACTTAAAGAGGCATTGGAGATAGCTCTCATTGTTAAAAAAATTTTAAAGATGCTTATCTAGGGGCTGGTGCTGTGGCATAGCAGGTAAAGTTGCCACCTGTGCCGCTGGCATCCCATATGGTTCCCACTTCGAGTCCCGGCTGCTCAATTTCCAATCCAGCTTCCTGCCAATATGGCTGGGGAAGCAGTGGAAAACGGCTCAAGTGTTGGGGCCCCTGCACCCATGTGTGAGACCTGGAAGAAACTCCTGGTTCCTGGCTTCAGATAGGCTCAGCTGTGGCCATTACAGCCATCTGGGGAGTGAACCAGTGGATGGGAGATGTCTCTCTTTCTCTTTCTCACTCTCTTGCTCTGCCTTTCAAATAAATAAAAATAAATAGGTATGCATTTTAAAAAGATTTTTATTTATTTATTTGAAAGGCAGAATTAGAGAGAGAGAGAGAGAGAGAGAGAGAGAGAGAGAGAAGGGGGGCAGAGATTGAGAGATCACTCTTTTAAGTTTTTTAAAAATTTATTTATTTATTTATTTAATTTGACAGGTAGAGTTATAGAAAGTGAGAAAGAGAGACAGAGAGGAAGGTCTTCCTTCCGTTGGTTCACTCCCCAAATGGCCGCTATGGCCGGTGCTGCGCTGATCCGAAGCCAAGAGCCAGGTGCTTCTTCCTGGTCTCCCATGCGGGTGCAGGAGCCCAAACACTTGGGCCATCCTCCACTGCCTTCCCAGGCCACAGCAGAGAGCTAGACTGAAAGAGGAGCAACCAGGACTAGAACCTGGCGCCCATATGGGATGCCAGCACCGCAGGTGGAGGATTAACCAAGTGAGCCATGGCACCGGCCCTGAGAGATCACTCTTTTAACTACTGGTTTACTTGCAACAGCCAGCCTTGAGTCAGGCTAATCTCAGGAGCCAGGAACTCCACCCAGGTCTCCAAGGTGGGGAGCAGGGATGAGATACCTGAGCTATCATCTGCTGCTTCCCCAGTACAGTAGCAGAAGCTGTATGAGAAGTGGAGGTGGGATTCAATCCCAGATAGTTCAATATGGGATGGCAGGTGTCCCAATAGCTCTTACTTGTGAATGAATGACAACTGTAAATATTGCTCAGAGAGATTGCTTTAGTGATGCAATGCATCAAGATATGCTTCACCACAGTTATTCGTGTAAAAAGTGCATCTGTCACCCACACTGATGGAAATTTGATTGTGTGATCAAAAATTATGCTAGAAGTTTTACAAGGTTTATTTCAAGTGCTATCCTTAGTATACTGATGAAATTGAGGGTCAAAAATGCAAAATAACTTGTTCAAAATCTCATTATAATCTCATGATGAATTAGATGTGTTAAGTCTAAGGCCTGCAACTGTTGTGTTGACCAGATTGTGAAGGGTCAAGATGAGAACTGGGAAGTAATGGCACTCTATCTTCTACTCAATAAAAAAAGAAGTGAAGTTATAGATTCATGAAGTTATAAATAAACTGCTGGAAAACTCCCTCTAACTTTAGGAGGGACAGTGCTTTGGGAGAGGAGGGGCAGATAGGGGGCAAGGGGCCCTTTGGAAAACCATTGCAATTATTCAGGGGCAAGACAAGGGCTGTATGCAACCAGGGAAGAGCTGTAGAACTGGCATAGAGATGGTGGATTTTTTAAAAAAATTTATTTTTATTTACTTGAAAGGCATAGTTACAGAGAGAGGCAGACACACACATACACCATCTTCTGGTTCACTCCCAAAATGGCCACAATGATGGGCTGGGTCAGGCCAAAGCCAGGAGCCAGGAGCTTCTTCCAGATCTCCCACATGGGTACAGGGGCCAAAGGACTTGGGCCATCTTCTACTGCTTTTCCAGGTGCATTAGCAGGGAGCTGGATTGGAAGTGGAGCAGCCAGGGCTGGAACTGAAGCCCATGTGGGATGCCGGCACTGCAGGCCAGGGCTTTAACCCGCTGTACTGCAGTGCTGGCCCTGGTGATGGATTTTAAAATTATTTCCTGGGGGAGGGGTGACAAGTCTTAATTAAAGTCCAATTAAATATTGGGGTTGAAAGAGAAAAGACAGTTTCTTATTTCTGATGTTGGGTGATGACAATTTTTACTAAGGCTGCTTCAACAATTCACTGTTCTTGTAGCAGGGCTCCCCCTGGTGGTGAAAAAAGCTAAGATCAGGATTTCTTATCCTGGGTACCTGCTGTTGTGGGATTCAGTTGTACAAATTAAGGCAGTTGCCAAATCATAGAAGAATGCCCTCCTTCTTTTGTGGTGACAAAGAGCCATGTCCTAAAACAACTAAAAATGGACAGCTGCTGATGAATTAGAGAGTGGGCCTCCCAACATCCTTAAATCAATCAAGGTGGCCTCTGGCCACCTTTTTTCTTCAAGAAATCTCCATGTTTTTTGGTTGGCTGGTGTCACTGGTACTTAATCCAGCAGGCATTGAGAATTCTCATAGTGAAGAGTGATCAACTAAGAACATGATAGAAGCCACGGTAGAGATTTTAAATCGAGATTCATGAGTTCTGAATGGTGATTCTGCCACAAATCTAGTATCAGTTTCTTGTGTAAATTATTCATCATGGTATCCAGGTGGGTATGGGGTTGAGGTAATGTGTGTAAAGCACCCTGCCTCCTTAACAGCTGGAGAGGATGCTGATTACCTGAGGAGTTTAGGAAGTGGCCCAGTGTAGGTAGTTCTTCAGGCAATTAGAGTCCTAGGAATCTGAGTTCACTCATGAATATACTCAAAGAGAGCGACAGGGCCAAAGAAAACTCAAAAGGTTGCTAAACTGTCTGGGCATCCGCAGGGCCAACTAGTCATCTAAATAGACAAGGTAGCACCCAGAGCGATTCTTTGTGCTCATTTTTTCAACCAGGGCATAGCCTTGTAATAAACAAGAACAATTTTCTAAAGTAGTTCTGAGTCATTGTCTGAGCCAAGATATTTCAGAAACTTTGCATCTTGAGCCATTGACATGTTACTGGTTAAGTATAAATACCTGGCTGCCTACTGAAGTGCACATCAAGTGTAACCTTTCGCTAAGACCAACGGGTACTAACAGATCTGAGGAGGGAGCCACAGCACATGGCAGCCAGTGGTTTCCTTTCACACATCCCCTGAGGTTCTAGAAAGGTTTAAAGTGTTAAAGCTCAGAAGAGTTACCTCTTGAGATGTTTGAAGCCCATGTCATTTCTTCCCCAAGAGCTCTGTGTGCATGCGTGTTAGTTGGTCTTATCCATTTATAAGCTTTTGTAAGCTCCCTAGTGAAAACAACTATTTTTTCTTGGCTTAATTGCATATCATTGAGTGGTCTGTCTCTCATGATATAAGCTTACAGTAATGAGAAATGTTCTGTGCATTAGAGACCACCAGCATGCCAGGCAAATGGTAAATCAGGCATTTTATTGATGTGTACAGAAAGTAACTTCTTAAAGGTCAGAATGTAACCACTGGAAAAAATCCCGTTTTATTGCACCACATGAAGACTGTGCTGTATTAATTAGCAAAAGTATCTGACAAGATTAGTCTTTTATTCTATATTTCATGAAGAAAACAGTGAGGATTCCAACGGCATTGATCCTCCCACCCCCATATTGTATCTGACACCAACTTATTATGAGCTCTTTTGATTTTAGGTTGTTTCACAGGAAACATAACAACTAATATTTTGTACTTTTCCTGGATACATGGCCACAATCTGCCAGCTGTTGCGGACAGTGAAGGTGGGAGGCAGAATAAATTTGTACAAATACATCTGCCTTTGAGTGGGTGTAGTTTTAAGTGTCCACCCCTAAGAGGTGGAAACCAGAGTGCTTATTAAGTGAGGCAACAAACATCACACCGGTTCTCCACTCCGTATTGATTCTCCACAGCTTCTTCCCCTCAGCTTTCTGTAATTTAGGGTACACTGGCCTGGCCTCAGCCATATGAAAGCCACATTCATGATGAAAGTGAGAACCCATAATAAGCCTGGTTTGCCCTAGGGAGTGCAAAGGCAAAACTCAGCAGGCCCCTGGAGAATCAGTGACTTTGAGGGGGCAGCATGGAGCTTATGGAGTATTTGCTAATTGACAGCCAAGTTCTGCCTTAGAAAGCAAAGATTTTTGTATAGTATTCTAAAAAGCTATCAAAGGAAATTTAATGAAAATACCTAAAAATAGTAATTTAATTGCTCTTTATTTTACTAAATCAAAACCACGTTTCTATTTGTTTTTGAACTTGTTTTAACTGTATACTTATTTTTTTAATTTTATTTATTTATTTATTTGAAAGACAGAGCTAGAGTCAGAGAGAGAGAGAGGTCTTTTATCCACTGGTTCACTCTCCAGATGGCCGGCAGGAGCTGTACCGATCCAAAGCCAGGAGCCAGGAGCTTCTTCCAGGTCTCCCATGCAGGCGCAGAGGCCCAAGTACTTGGGCCATCTTATATTGCTCTCCTAGGCCATAGCAGGGAGAGGGATTGGAAGAGGAGCAGCTAGGACTTGAACTGATGCCCACATGGGAGGCTAACAGTGCAGGCATTGGCTTTACCTGCTATGCCACAGCATAGGCCCCAACTTTATAATTCTTCATGCTTATTGATTCTCTCATAAATTCTCCCTTGACATACTTGGGCAAGTTACACATGGGTCACTTTTTGTATAAGGATTGCAACAATTATATCTACATATATGTAAATTTAATTGTCTTAGCAGAGATAGTTCTTAGACTAGTGAGCCTAGGACACTGAATAAAATGAATAAATGTATTAATCTGTGAGTCTGTGTGTGTGTGTTTTTTGAATTGGGTTCTCCTCTCCCCCCTCCCCCCAGCAGTTATTTATTTATTTGAAAGGCAGAGTTACGCAGACAGGGGGAGAGACAGAGCTCTTCCAGCTGGGCCAGGAGGAAGCCAGGAGCCTAAAACTCCATCTCGGTTTCCTACAGGGATGGCAGGAGCCCAATCACTTGGGCTATCATCTGCTACTTTCCCTGGTGCCTTAGCAGGGAGCTGCACTGGAAGTGGAGTAGTAGGAACTCAGTCTGGTGCTCACATGGGATGCCGGTTGTGGTGTCCCAGGAAGCAGTTTAACCTGCTGTGTTACCATGCTGGTTCTCAACTGGGGTTCTCAAAAACAAATATGTATGTGTGTTTGTTGGATACATGGCCCCAACTTTCAGGTACTACCATGTTAAGCCTCAATCCATCTTTGGTAGTGCTAGCGTTTCGGCTCAGAGGCGTTTTTTCAGCCCTGATTGTGATGGGTATAGGCATAACAAGTAAAACCAAAAGCTTTCCCCTTTTTATGTACTGCATCTTTCCCTTAATCTTTTCTGATGGTCTCCAAATGTGTCAGTGAAATACATATGTGTATGTCCAAGTAACACTTTAAATCAAGACAGTGTGATTTTAAAGAACACTTTGAGAAAAACTTAAGCTATAGCAACTGGAGAATGATCAAAATGAAGTGACGCCTACCTTTCGGTATCCCCAGAGCTGGTTCCCCTTCATACCATGACAGTCATAGAGAGTGACTGGGCTGCTGTGTGAGATCGCATCAAAGCAGAATTTACGAGTGTGCAGCGGCTCACCAGGTCGAATATCTTCTCTCCATCCAAACGTGAAGAGCTAGCAAGCAACAATAGCAGAAAAGCTGCAGTGAGTTTAATTGGGAGAAAAGATTGGAGAGCAGGGAGAAGTTACGTCTTTTAGTAACTTAGAACTCCTGCTTTGTGGTTTACAAAAAAGAACTTGTCATAATAAAGGTGTAGAAAAAGACATGTATTATAAAGTGCTATAGCAGTAAAAACTAGACCTTTGGCCCTGGCTGATAAAATACACAAATTAGGAGAAGTTTCCTTTTACAGATGGTGTGGGGGAGGGAATAACAGAAGATGACTTCAAAGGAGGAGAGAGAGAGAGATAGGGACAGAAAAAGGAAAGGGAGAATGAGAGGGGGAGGGAAGGGAGATGGAGGAGAGAGAATGGGAGAAAGTCTTAATAAAACCTTTACATTTTTCATTTAGATATAAAGTGTTAGTCTATGGCCATATCATCCTGAATGCGCTCGTTTGATAAAATGTTACTGACTCAAATATTGTACAGTTAGCCTAAACAAGTGACTAACTGAAAAAAGACAAGGAGTAGAGTTGAGCTGAACTGATACTGGCACATGGAGAAATCTAATTTAAAGGAAAGCTAAGCTTGATGAAGTAAAAGATAGGCAAAGTAATTGCCTCAGGCTGGTAAGAGTAATTCTACAGGGCACGGCAGGAAGTTTTAGATTGTAACTCTCAGTAAGAAATACAGTTCACACTCTGCTCCTCACAGATCTGCCTCTGTTCTAACTGAAACAGAAGTTCATGAAATGACTTACTGTGTCTAATGGATTCATAGTCCATCCAACCTTTCCTTATCCTAGTTTTTCCTATACTATCTACCTCATTCCATCATATTTAAACTGCTATTTGTAAGGGATTGGCATTGTGGTATGGTAATTTAAGCTGCTGCCTGTGATGCCAATATCCCGTGTGGTCACCCATTACAGTTCCAGCTGCTCCACTTCTGATTCAACTCCCTGCTAAAGTCTGAGAAAGCAGAAGATGGTCGAGTGCTTGGACTTCTGCCACCCACATGGGAGACTCAGAGAGAGTTCTAGGCTCCTGGGATCCATTTGGCCCAATTCTGGCTCTTGTGGCCATTTGACAGTGAGCCAGCAGAAGGAAGATCAATCCCTCTCTCTCTCCTTGTAATGATGCCTTTCAAGTGAATGAATAGATCTTTGCTTTTCAGATAAATAAATAAATGTTAAAAAATGAAATGCTACTTTATGATGCACTAAATTTATTTTACAATGTATTAAATTAAACCAACAAAGGGCATTTACTTGAGTTATTTGAGCTGGACAAGACCTGAAGAGTGTGTAGAAGAAATATCTAAGTAAATGGGAAAATGGACCAGGTTATCCCTGTGATTTCTTTTAATTCTAAAATTTCAGTGAGGTTATATAATTCCTACAATAAGACCTCAGGCAGGCTAGCTGAGTGAAGCCAAGCTGTGAATTGCAAAATAAAGAAAAGCTGTCTGGGAGACTCTGGTGACATAAATGCAAGCACTGTGCTGAGCTGTATGTAGATAATACATTCAACACTGAATAGGTCTTTAGCATATTCAAGTTTTTAGGTCCTGCTTCAGAAAGAAAATGTAGAGAATCAGTGCAATTCCAGAGATGGCTAGCTAACCAAAACAGTTAAGTGGTGGAGAAGCTCAAGAAAAATGAAAGAACTGGGTTAAGTGGTCTGAAGAAAATGAGAAAGAAATGACCTAAATCAAGCATAGAAATGACAACTGTCTGAGTAATGGCAAGTGATTACATTCTGTCTCCCTGGAAGACAGAACAGAAGAGAATGATTTAAGTAGAAGGAACAGTGGTTTTAGTTTAGGCATTTGAAATGGATTCATGAAAAGGGATTGTATAGTTCCTTTCCGTAGCTTTTTTTTAAAATTGATTATTTGAGAAGCAGAGAGAAAACAGATAGATGATAGATAGATCAATCAACTGACTACTGTCTAATCCACTGGTTCACTCCCCAAATGCCTGTGACTGCCTGGGCTGAATTGAGGAGGAAGCTGGGAACAAGGAACACAACCCAGGCCTCCCACATGGGTGGCAGGAACCCGATTACTTGAGCCATCACTGCTGCCTCCTGGGATCTGCATTAACAGGAAGCTGGAGTCAGGAGCCAGAGCTGGGTTCTACTCTGATATGGGATGTGGGCATCCTAACTAGTATCTTAACCATTTGGCCAAATGTCTGTACTAAGTTGCATAAAAATATGATTGTGGACAAACATGTTTAGATTTATTTAAATCCTGCACAAGGAAACGTCTATTCAGCTATTTCTGATTTTGATCACTCTCTTCTAATCAGAACTTGTGATTCCCCTGGCCTTCTAACTGGTTCCATGCTCCTATTTTGGTTCTCATACACCTGCACTTCTTGGTCTTCAGAGTAGAGTGTTTGAAATGCTTATATGGCATTAAAATGCCTATATGTTCCTTCTCAACCTAAAATCCCATGGCATTTCACATAGTCTTTAAAGAAGTTAAACTTTAACACGTGATGACCTTTCCACAATCTGATTCTTTTTTAAAAGAAAAAGATTTATTTATTAGCACTTTGACCTCAGAATCAGCCTTTAAGGCATTCTGGTCTGGCTGAAAAGTCCGGGAGAGTATTTCAGGCATGGAAAGCCAAGACACTGTGGGAAAAAATGTCCTACATGAAGGATCTCTGTGAGACAGACCCCAGTGGAAAGAAGTGGCCATCAAAGGATGTACTTTTCTCTGAAGGGAAGCAAGAACTTCCACATTGTTTATGGCCTGGTCTAAATATTGATGGAGACTGTGGATTCAAAAGGCTTCCATAGCCTTGGCAGCTCACGTCAAGAGACTCAGGTGATCATGGACATCATACATAAGAGTTATTTGTTAAATTAACAACAGGAGTCAGTGTGTACTTACTTCTCATGCAGGACTTCTATCCTCAGTGAGTTGTATTATGAGAATTAACTGTAAAACTTGTTCTCAGTTTTTTTTTTTTGTATGAGTGCAAATTGTAGGAATCTTGGTATAGAGTTGATCTTCTGTGTATAAAGTTAATTGAAAATGAATCTTAATGGAGAATGGGACTGGGAATGGGAGAGGGAGGAGGAAGTAGGGTAGGAGGGCGGGCATGGTGGGAAGAATCACTACATTCCTAAAGTTATACTTATGAAATTTGTACTCATTAAATAAAAGGTTTATTTGGGAAAAAAGGATTTATTTATTTATTTGAAGGCAGAGTTACAGAGAGGCAGAGGCAGAGAGAGGTCTTCCATCCACTGGTTCACTCCCCAGACAGCTGCAATGGCAGGAGTTGCACCCATCTGAAGCCAGGAGCCAGGAGCTTCTTCCAGGGCTCCCACAGGGGCACAGGGGCCCAAGCACTTGGGCTATCTTCTACTGCTCTCTCAGACCATAGCAGAGAGCTGGATCAGAAGTGGAGCAGCCGGGACTCAAACTGGTGCCCATATGGGATGCTGGCATTGCAGGTGGTGGCTTTACTGGCTATGCCATAATGCCGGCCTCCACAATCTGGTTCTTTTTTGCAATGATTTGGATGTGGTTTGAGTGTATTCTTTAGGGGCTCATTTGTTGAAATTTAATCCCCATTGTGAAGTATCAAGGTCATGGAAACGTAATCTTACTATGGCTTTTAGAGGTGGTGACTTTGAAAGGTGATCAGGATTAGGAAAGGTCATCGATAGGCAGCCCCATGATTGATTGAATACTGGTGGCCTTATAAGAAGAAGGAGAGAGAATGACACACACACACACTTGCCCATATACATGGGCTTCCTGTCTCTTGCCATGTGGTGCCCTGTGCTACTTCAGGACCCTGCCAGCAAGAAGGCCATCACCAGATGAAGGCCCTTGAACTTCCAGAACAGTGAGATAGCTAAACCTTTTTTCTTTGCTTTACTTCATTATAGTAATGCAAAATGAACTAATATACAGTTCTTTTTCAGCTTCATTCCTTTTTTAAAAATTTATTTAGTTTGTATCCTAATAGTGCTCAAGTGTTTGCAGTTCTTTGCGCAAAGAACACTATTACTTTCCCTTCTGTGATTTTGTTCATGGAAGACCCACCTGTTGGGAGGCCAACAGAATTAATGTTCAGCCAACTGAATTAATGTTCACCAGCCAAATGAATTAATGTTCACCAGCCTTAAGATTTTGTTTAGGTAGCCACTCATCCAAGAAGCCTTACTCCTTGGACTTCTTACCCTTCTCATCCCTTACCTGATCATGAATGTCCCTTTGTGTTTCTGTATCCATTGCTAGATAGTGAGATAATTGATGGTGGGGTCATAGCTTTTTTGTATGTATTTCTAGTACCCAGAGAAATTATTGATTACATAATAGATGCTCAGTAAAATTTGTGTTGAATAGATGAAACTTTGACATCCTGTTAACAGAATGCATATTGAGATAAATGTCGATATAAATGGATTAGTCTTTTTTAGTTCACAAAATGACTCAATGCTGCTGTCTAACTTCAGCAATGTCACTAATAATCATAATTTTTGAACTTTCAACTTTGATGATTCTAGATTCAGTTTACCTACTATTAGAATAGAAATTTCCTGGTTTGTAACCTGCCATTGGCTTTGATTAAATCTTTTTAAAATATTTGTTTATTTATTTGAAAGGCAGAGTTATGGAGAGAGAGGGAGAGGCAGAGAGAGAGGGAGAGAGAGAGCGAGAGAGAGATGTAGATAGATATCCATCTGCTGGTTCACTCCCCAAATGGCCACAATGGCTGGGGCTGGGCCAGGTCAAAGCCAGGAACTTGGAACTCCATTCCAGTCAGCAACATGACTGTCAGGGCCCCAAGCACTTGGCCATCTTCTGTTGCTTTCCCAGGTGCATTAGCAGGGAGTTGGATCAGAAGTAGAGCAGTCAGCACTGGAACTGGTGCCCATATGGGATGCTGGTGTCACAGGTGGTGGTTTAACCCATTGTTCCACAGTGCCAGTCCCTTAATTAAGTCTTTATTTAAATATTTCCCTATTCAATATGCAATC